TGAGAATGGGTGTGTGATAATTTAGCAGACTGATGATTACTGAAGAGAAACTCATTGGATGTGGTAGAGGTACGTATTGGGTTTCGTAATTGAGTGAGATTATCAGTGTGTTAATTTGTATGGTAACTGTTCTGAGTGTCGTAAAAAAACAAAATGCCAAGCCAAAAGAATGTCAGGCAACTTTTAAAATGAAAACATTTATATGCCAAACTGAAAAGGTTTAGCCAAGCATGAACTACATTTGATTTTTCTGTTTATCAACTTTCACCTAATTTGCATGATAATTAGCTGATTTTTAGCTGTTCCATGATTGTTCCACTGATATCTTAAGAACCGCTCATTGGATTTCAATGAAACTTGGCACATAGATGCTCCGAACTAATGCGCAGGTTAGATCAGTTTTGTGTAAAAATCTGTGCGATATTAATTACCTAATTTGCATAATGATTAATAAATTTTTGGCTTTTCCACTGATATCTCAAGTACTAATCATCACATTTCAATAAAACTTGGTACATAGATGTCATATGACACTGCATAGACCTGATAGTTTTTAGGGTAATATAAGTACATATTAATTACCTAATTTGCATAATTAATTAATTTTCAGCTTTTGATATTTCAAGTAGTAATCATCACATTTCAATGAAATTTGGTACATAGTTACTTAGACTGTGCAGAGACCTGATTACTGGTAGTTTTGGGGTAAATATTTGTGCATATTAATCACCTTATTAGCATAATTAGTTAATTTTCAGCTTTTCGTCTGATAACTCAAGTACTGATCATCATATTTCAATGTAACTTGGTACATAGATCCTCTAGGACTATGCAGAGACCTGATTAGTTTTAGGGTAAATAATTGTGGATATTAATTACCTAATTTGCATAATTAGTAAATTTTTTCCATGAATGTTCCACTGATATATAAAGAACCACTAATTGGATTTTATTGAAACTTTTATAGAGTATTCATAGTTTTTTTGTTCTAATCACATTTCAATGAAACTTGGTACATATATATTACATTACGCAGGCCTTATTAGTTTTACACTCAAATCTGTTCATATCAGTTACCTGATTTACATAATTAATTTTCAGCTATTCCATCAATATCTCAAGTACAAGTAATTTTGAATTAATTTTTACTCTCAGCACACAGGAGTTCTTTCTAAGCTTTCTTTGATTTCGGTTATTTTGGAAGGGTTGCTATTAAGCTAAACTATACCCCAAATATGGTAATCAAACAAAAGTGAAGTGAAGTGAAGTGAAGTGAAGTGAAGAGTGGGAAGTGAGACCACAGTCGGTTAAATATAGCATCTGTGATCTACCTTGATACAAACTTGCCACTACTGCACTGTTTATCTATGTGGTATCAATTTCAGTGGCTGATCGGTGTTGGCAAGGTGGATTCTTGTGCATGCATGGAAGTTTTTGTGTTCCCCAAGAATGGCGCTGTGATGGCCATAATGATTGCGGAGATGATTCGGATGAAGATAACTGCCTGAATGGTAAGATCCACTGCGTAATTTGAATTCAACTTAAGTTTGCATAGATCAGGATTATAGAAACAGATTAGGTATGGTACATGTATAAGTTATATAAACTATTCTGTACCTTGCCATTTTTCTTAACCCTAAATTACACATAGCATTATAAATTAGGTTAAGTGTGTATGTAGTTGTATTTACATTTTATGTATTTTATTTCTATGTTGAATTTAATCAAATTGCAATCCTATATAACATTTCAGATTCTTTTGATCCAACCTGATTCAATGCCCTTGATGTACGGTAATTTTGGCATCATTTATCGTATCACACTGAGGGTTTACATGTGAATGAAGACATCCACTTATGATGAAACTAAGTTGAAGTTTAGATTGCATTTAATATTGATCCAATAAATTTATTTTTTGTCTGTTATTTCATGGCAATGAATGATGAATCACTGTTTTCTGTATACCTAATAATTATTGTAAATGTCCATGTTTTTTCCCAGGTGTCTCTGAATTTAAAGTCAATAGCTGGGGTGTGATTGGAGGGTGGTCGTCCTGGAGTGAGTGGTCTAACTGTGATGCGGAATGTGGCGCTGGAGAAAGATCTCGACACCGTGTGTGCTTAGATCCACAGAGTAAATGTGATGATCAGGAAGTTGAATTTGAAACTTGTGAAAATGATTGTTATGTCGAGGCAGGTGAGATATTTTATTTTCTATATACGTATATATCCCCTCTTCAAAAATAAAAGCTTGGTTACCAGTACATGATCTTAACTGATGAAAATGAGGATTTCTCATTTTTTGATGAGCTTATTCTGATGCCAAAATTCATGTAAATTGTATGTTTTAAAAAAAACTAAACAGATTTTATTTTATAATAATATCTTGGATAAGTTTTGACACATTTCTTCCAAAGTTGGTAAAAAAAAATACAGTAGAAGTCAGTGGTGTACATATAATTCATGTCAGTTGGATTTTGTTTGATGACCTTTCACCAACTAGTGGCCATATTTGCCGCAAAAGATTTTCAGGCATGCCAAGTTTCTTGGATGTGCCATGAGTTTTTTTTAGCTCTGCTATCAACTTTGTTGAGCGAAGCTAGTCATACTGATCCATCGTTCACATCAAATTTTTTGACTTCTTAAAGTGTGATTGTTTAGATATTATACATATAGGTACCTCTTTCAGATTTGTTCATTTCAGGATTATATTTCAATTTTCTAATTGAAATGTGCATTGTGAATACTGAAGACATCTCAGCCGAGAGACTGCATGTTTAACGTTTTACAAAGACAGGACATAATTTTGTTTTCTCAAATGGATATCAAAGGCCATTTATTTTTATTATAAAGACAAAAGTATGTTTATGTTGTATTTTACAGATTCAGGATGCGGTACACGTAAATCAAACAGTTTACAGCGCATAGTTGGTGGTGAGCCTTCCAGGATAGGGAGCTGGCCATGGCAGGTACAACTGGTGTATTCATACAATAGCGGTGCCCAGCAAGTAGTATGTGGAGGATCATTGGTTGGACCTAAACATGTCATCAGTGCTGCACATTGCTTTGTTGGCAGCATGTAAGTATGATTTATGACATTTCTTTCACCCTGAAAAATTGCATATCTTGATTCAGACAAGTAGAAGTGATAACCATCCTGTATGTGTCTTGTTATTTTATCATGGGGGCATTTGCCCCAAATCTTAAAATTACATGCATTATCATATGTTATGTATTACTAATTTTCTTTTTCAAACAAAACAACTTTAGTTAATTTGGTGTTTTAGTTTGGGGTTTTCATATCATTATGAATTGTAATGTGTGAGCATTCACTGCCCAAAGACTTGTATACCCAAGATTGTCGTTTTTTGAACATCGTTTATTTATCACCAGTTTACCCTTCTGCAATTACCACATGCATGCTATTATTATAGGCACTTTAAAATATGTTTTAAAGAAATCTCATTCAGTGACTTCACACAATATTGCAGGGAGTTTTCTCTAAATAAATGTTAAGTTTAAGTGCTGCCAAGTTTCTTGTATTTTGGCTTAATTATTAGGGCTTGCCCATTGAGTTGTGGCATTTTCTTAGGGTAACCAGCTGGGCACGAGATGAGATCTAAAGCACCCAAATTCCAAGCTAACTGTCAGGCAGGCAGGCAGAGTATTGGCTGCTTTCTCAATAACAACAAGATGATCTATTGTTGGTCAGTCATTTGTTTAGTAAGTTGCCTGACAATAACAAAAAAAAAATCACTGTCAATATTCGCTAATCGTTAATGCTGTGTTGAAATTTAACCCGTTTATTTTAGTGAGATATCAGGGCCTCTATTTACCTGGAATGACGTACTGTTTTATTTCAAGATAGGATCTGCTGATATCGCTAGTTAATATCAACCCATTTTTAATGTTCAACACAAATAGGATTTGAACTTGGTTCTAGATTATCTACATTAGGTTATGTTTTTGGATTTTTGAAAATTTTTAGCTTATGAAAATAAATATTCACTGCTACCCGTCAGATATATAGATGTACCTGGGTGTAGGTTTTCCTGGTTCCACAGCGTTCTGATGATGAGCTATCAAATGTTTGAGTGACGAAATCACCCCCTCCCACCTCCACCCACTGACTACATTAGTTCATTTCCAAGGTAACGGCAGAACTCGAAACTTATCTATTACATGAAACATCGGAAGCACTCGTGTCACTAGAGGGCGCACATTATAGGAATGGTGCTGTAAATGTTAAGTTCATAATTAGTCCCCGTTCGGACGCAGTCCGAAAACGGGGACTTATGTTTTGCCCTGTGTGCGTCCGTCCGTCCGTCCGTGCGTCCGTGATCACCTGTATCTCGAACATGGATGGACCGATTAAGTTCAAACTTCACTCATACATCACACATTATATGGGACATATGCACATGCATTTTTTTCATGATCCGATTAACGATAGCCGAATAGCGGCCATTTTAAGGTCGAAAATGCATCAAAATCGCACATTTTCACCATTCCGGACCCGGATCTCAGTTATGCATGGACAGATTTTGTTCAAATTTGGTACATACATTAAACATAATAGGACCTTGATGCACGTCATTTTTTTTTTTGGATCGGGTTCAAATGGCCGACTGGCGGCCATTTTGTTTTAAAGAATTCAGTTCTGGATCCGTATCTGAGACATGCTTGGATTGATCGAGTTCAAACTTCACACACACAAGGTACATCATGTTACAAATATGTATGTGCATTTGTTTCATGATCTCATTAACGATAGCCAAATGGCGGCCGC